TTTAAATAAACAATTGGGCATTATTCTCTGAAGTCTTCTGAAGAGAAGCAGAGCTTTCAGATTGAAAAATTTTGATTTCCATGGATTCTATGCCATTTCTACGAAAAGTCTTTTTTTCCCCATACAAAATACATGGGAAACTTTGAGCGCTTTGAGCGACCTCTAAATATATTTTGATGTTAAAATAAATAAACAGGGGTATACTTTTTTCGGTATAGAACAATCCTAGGGGGTGAGAACATTAAATTTCCGACTTTACTTTTTTTTGGACCACCCTAATGTAGATACATATCTACAGTAAAATAAATTAGTTTTGTAAAGAACCGGCCGGTTTTCCCTGCAGGGAAAGGTTTGAAACGCTTGAGGAATGATGTGGAAACTTTTCTAAATTATGAAGATTTTACATACTAGCACACTTATGTATGTACATACCAGAGATGCCCACTGGGGAGAATTCTCCCATTTCGGTGGAATTTGAACTTTGTGGGGTGTTTGGAATTTCAGGAGAGTATGATATGCATGCTGTCTTGACCAACACTTTTTATTGCCCTTATTTCGAATATATTATATATAATATGTAAATTATTACATATGCATTATAGTTATTTAGGGCTGTGTGAATGCTTATTTTACTCACATAAATAATCAACTAGTAATCGAATTTTAATGTTGATTGCTTTCTTTTTGAAAAATTTCCCAAGCCAATTTTTCCATACTCAATATATGTATGAAAAAATAAATTTTAATCATTCCTCAAATTACACGAGTAATACTTCGTCTCCTTTAGGAGATTTACCTATTAAATTTAATAAATCCAGTTGATAAATCACAACTGTCTCTATTGCCACTAATGGCGTTTCCTTTCTACAAAAAAAAAGGTTACCACCTCTTTGCCCTCTACGCACAAATATTAAGAATAGGGCAATGAGAAGGAAACATTTTTTGTAGCAACGAAAACGCCATAAGAGATGTGTTTGACGTTCACATTTGTAAATATTTGACGTTTGCTTATGTATAATTTATAAACGCAGGTGCAGACATTGAAATACGATTAAATGAACGAAAATATTACTGGCCTCTTCTTCATTATTCGAATCATTTTCCCGAATTTAAGAAAAATTAACAAGACGGGTAAGAACAACATTTGTGGAAAGAAACATCTTTGAAGATCAGTTGAGGAAATAAACTCTCTTCCTCATAAGAGGGTACCGAAAATCCAACAGTGGGCCTTTGACATATCATGAAGACCTACATAGCAAATATGTCTCCGAATAAATTTTTTGAGTCGAATTGAGTTCTAGGGGAAGTTTGGTGCAATGTTATCGAAAAAATAATAATTGCCGAATTTTATAAATTTTATGACGCTGCGCTAAAAGATTTATAAAAAGCGGAGAAGACTCTGGGTGATATGAGCATAAAATAAAACATATTTTCGGAATAAACATACATATGTACAGTAAAATAAAATAGTTTGTAAAGAACCGGCCGGTTTTCCCTGCAGGGAAAGGTTTGAAACGCTTGAGGAATGATGTGGAAACTTTTCTAAATTATGTAGATTTTACATACTAGCACACTTATGTATGTACATACCAGAGATGCCCACTGTGGGGTGTTTGGAACTTCGGGAGAGTGTGATATGCAGGCTGTCTTGACCAATACTTTTTATTGCGAATAATATGTATAACAAATTATTGATTCTATTAAAAACTTCATATTACCGTATAACATTCTAAACATAACATTGTATATTATGAAATACCGAAACAAGATAAATAAAGGCCTGTCCCTTTATTTGGAATATATTATATATAATATGTAAGTTATTACATATGCATTATAGTTATTTAGGGCTGTGTGAATGATTATTTTACTCACTTAAATAATCAACTAGTATTCGAATTTTAATGTTGATTGCTTTCTTTTTGAAAAATTTCCCAAGCCAATTTTTCCATACTCAATGTATGAAAAAATAAATTTTAATCATTCCTCAAATTACCCGAGTAATACTTCGTCTCCTTTAGGGGATTTACTTATTAAATTTAATAAATCCAGTTGATAAATCCCAACCGTCTCTATTGCCACTAATGGCGTTTTCCTTTCTACCAAAAAAGGGTTACCACCTGTTTGCCCTCTACGCACAAATATTATTAAGAAGAGGGCAATGAGAAGGAAACATTTTTTTGTAGCAACGAAAACGCCATAAGAGATATTTTTGAANTTCTACCAAAAAAGGGTTACCACCTGTTTGCCCTCTACGCACAAATATTAAGAAGAGGGCAATGAGAAGGAAACATTTTTTTGTAGCAACGAAAACGCCATAAGAGATATTTTTGACGTACACATTTGTAAATATTTGACGTTTGCTTATGTATAATTTATAAACGCAGTTGCAGACATTGAAATACGAATAGATGAACGAATATTACTGGCCTCTTCTCATTATTCGAATCATTTTCCCGAATTTAAGAAAAATTAACAAGACGGGTAAGAACAACATTTGTGGAAAGAAACATCTTTGAAGAGCAGTTGGGGAAATAAACTCTCTTCCTCATAAAAGGGGACCGCAAATCCAACAGTGGGCCTTTGACATATCATGAAGACCTACATAGCAAATATGTCTCCGAATAAATTTTTTGAGTCGAATTGAGTTCTAGGGGAAGTTTGGTGCAATGTTATCGAAAAAATAATAATTGCCGAATTTTATAAATTGTATGACGCTGCGCATAAAAGGTTTATAAAAAGCGGAGAAGACTCTGGGTGATATGAGCAAATAATAAAAAATAAAACATATTTTCGGAATAAATAGTACTTATATGGAAATATCTCTAAAGGTTTAAGCTGATGCCAGACGTGACATTAATAACTTTGCCTGCAAAGCGCGTATGCCAAAATGAACACCTAGAAAACAATTTTGTACTGTTTTTATACTCGTGAACATTTTTGGGGATTTTATATATTTAGATTTAAAAATATCAGCTCAAATTAGGACGACACAAAATAAATATTAAACCAGATGATGGTCAATAAATATTAAACCGCAAAAAGATGGGAGTTGGCCATATTTTCGCTTCGCGATGTAGCTAAAATGATCTATGTGGCATGCTTTGTGCATTTTCATCAGGGCTGCCAATATAGCTCTTTTCCCGTCAAATCTGGCTTTCTCGAAGCCTATTTAACGGCAAAAAATGAGAAATTTCGAGAAGAGGGAAATCCAGCTTTTTGAGAAATTTTTGACGTATTTTTAGCGTTCTCTCTTATACAATATAGTACATACATATGTATTTAAAATTACCAGATATTTTCGATAGGGTTAAAAGGGATTATATGTTTCCAGTGGGCAATGTTTTGCCTGCAACGCATGAGGAGATAGAAGGTGTTTTAAAACATTTTAATTACAGTGATGATATCATAGAAAAAATAATAATTAATTACATTAGAATTAATTTTGTAAAATGGAATAATACAAGTAATACAATGCAATTTTGAATAGAAGTTCAAACTAATACGGATGCAGATGGAAACAAATGGTTTTCCGATCTGGCGGAATTTTCCCTTAATTTACTTTCACTCCGTTGGTCTAATGCAGACCTGGAACTTCACTCAGTCAGCTAAACTTTGTGCAAACAAAGCTACGCAATAGTACACACTTCTACTATATAAGTAGTTATATTAACTTTTAATCTTATTTTTAATTTCTGACGAAGTTCGATCCCAGCAGTATTTTCGATTATTAATTTTAATTTCAAGTAGTGCTTCAAATGAATTGCTTAAAATTATATTAATATAAACCTATTTAGTTTTTATTTTTTTGTTTAGCTTTTTCCAGCAGATTTTTATAAAAATCTGGATTTTTACTCGAAGTGCGAATCTGTCACGCAAAGCGAAGCAAGCGTTTTATCTGGCAGCAGCTTTAACGTTAAATCTCGTCAGTGGGCCAAATCTTCATTAAATCTCGCAATGGAGATATTGTATTATGGTTATTTCAAATAATCGTAATCGTGAATAATTAAGTAATTGATTGACCCAAGTTTACCCATTTCAAGTTCCGCAGCTCATTCAAAAAACGTTCCGGTTCGCCTCAGCTCATCATGCCTTTACAGTTGTTTTGATCGTTCGCATCAAGTAGTTATGACTCTTGAATTTCTTAAGCTCATGCCTTACTTTAATTATTACAAAAATTTACAAATATACGGCAATAACACATTGATTGAGCTAGTATTAAGCGCTTTCGGCTTTGTTGTCTTTTGATTAATATTATTATAGGCAATTTTTATTCTAAGCATTTTAGATCAGCGACTTTTAATTCTAAGAGAGAGGAAAATAAGCTGTAATTTTCTGTTATATCAATTAGATTTAAAAAAATGTGTCATAACTATATTCAAGGTTTTTGTAAGAGTGCAATAAATTAATGATTTTTTTTTTGAAGAGTTCTATCGAGCCAGATGTTTTGTTTGTCCATAGCTAAACGTCCGGTATTCTTGACCTATGCCAAAAATTTCACTTCACATTTTACATCAGTAATGAAATCGGAATGTTAATCACCTGACACTAAATAAGGGATGGAAAAGTAAACTCTGACTTTAGTCCTAAATCTACTTTTTGTTGAAAAACTCGACTTTTTGGAATCGAGTTCTGCCGCTTGAAGTCTAATCTAATCGAATCTCCTTCGATGACTTTACGACTTTTGTCTACTAAGTAATTAATGTAACATAATTACCTAATACCATGTTCTGACCGACAACGAAAACACTTTGAAAACGAGTTTTGGGATTGTAGGCTGAAGGCTGTTTACACCGGTTGTTAGTGTTTTCGTTGCCATTTCTTANACTTTGAAAACGAGTTTTGGGATTGTGGGCTGAAGGCTGTTTACACCGGTTGTTAGTGTTTTCGTTGCCATTTCTTGCATCTTTTGATTACGGTTTTGCTACACAAAAACAAAACTAAAACACTTTTCCTTCATTTTCTTTTCATTTACAACCTTTAACTTTCATTCTTATTTTACTTTGGCCAGCCAATTAACAATAAATCCGAAATGGCGTATTAAAGATTATAAAATATGACTTCCACTCCGATAAATAATCGAAAAAAAAAACTAGTGAAGACACCGATAGGAATGAGTGGAACGTGAGTTTTCAAGTAGTTTTCAGAGAAAACTGGTTTTCGCTTGAGAGATTTACATGGACGAAAACACAAGTTTTCAGAACATGGTTAATTGTAAAGTTTTAACATCCTATTGCAGTAGTGTAAATCCACTTCATTTATATAACATTTAAAATATATCGATACTGTATTGAAATAAACGGCAATTCAGAAACAAGTGTTCAAGACTACACACAATTTTATAACGACTTCCAGTTTAATATGGGTTCACTGCTTAAACATTGATAAAACAGTCGATGATTGTATGTGGGTTTCTGAATTATTTAATTTTAACATTTAAATAGTTTTAAATTTCAGTGCCGAATCTCGTGCAATAAGTTGATAAAATATAATTTATTTTAATTATTGAAAATTATAATTTGACTAGCAGACCCGACGAACTTCGTCCCGCCCAAAATAAATTTTGTGTACACGGTCAAAAATGTGGGGGACTACTGCCTTTTTTAATCTTTTATAGTCTCTTTTTTAAACCAGTCAATAGTTTTAAGCAATTTTTAATATATTGTGGTTTAAATTTTAGTCCAAAAAGTTGGTGATTTAAAAATCAAACCAAAATGTTTTAATTCTAGTTTCTAGGTTTCATATATAGAAAATTTGGTTTAAAATCTAAACCGAAATAGAAAATGTTTGCACACAGCGAACTGTGGTGTTGATTCAAGCTCAACATATGAAAGCACATTTACATGCGTGGCTATAGCTGAGTGTGCAAAGCTGGTTGGTAGAATTGGTTGCTACTAAGGCTGTCCGAGTTCAATCCCCATCAGATGGAGCATGAAATTTTATTTTTATTTTTTATTCTTAATTGTGAAAATGTTTGGGTTTGAAATTTAAACCGAACTGTTTTAATTCTAAACCCAACATATGTGCCCTCTTTTTTTTAAATTTAGAAGGTTTGTATTTGAAACTGAATTTATGTAGTTTGGTCATATATGTAGTCCAAAAAGTTTAAAATTAAAACCGACATTTTTAACCGTGTATTGAAACATTTTGGTCCAACATTTTCACCAAGAGTTCACGTTCATGATTTTTAGTGACGCATTTGTCTTCTAATATTACGTTTGGTGGTTGTCAGAAGGCATATTTGCCGTCTTAAATAACTTAGCAAAACTCCACATGCATACAAAGATACGTAATAGTTTCAGTGCGTTTGAAAGGCGACACGTACCCTTTTCAAAGAACCCCAATTTTCTCTAAGTGCATGATTTTGATTTCATATATCTCTATACCATTTTCGAGTAATTTACCATGGGAGGTGCCACGTCCCTTTTTCCAATAGCCCCAACTTTTCTTCATGACCAGTCGCGTTTTATGTATCTTGTACATACCAAGTTCCTGTACTCTTCCATGGACACATTCAGAGATATGCAGTATGAAAAATTCGATGTGTATGGGAAGTGCCACGCCTCTTTTTCCGCAATTTTTATCCATGAATATGCAAATGTTTTCATATATCTCCATATCATATTCGAGTAGTCTACCATGAACACTTCCAGAGATGTGCAATATGAGAAATTCGGTTTGTATGGGAGGTGCCACGCCCCCTGCACCTAGCGGTATGAAATATATTTTACATCCGATTCTTATACGTACCATATATAACACAAAAAATTTCATAAAGATCGGTCGAGCCGTTTAGGAAGAGTTCGATTTTTATATGTATATTAGATAAGCACGATGCGAGAAGCATAGAAAAAATTTCGGAAAATATTTTTTCTCGGGTTCACAACTATCCTATCTTTTAAGTTGGAACCAGCAATACACACCCACAAAATTTCATTGAAATCGGTTAAGCGGTTTCGGAGATTAGCGTGCACGAACACAGTGACACGGGATATTTATATGTATAAATAGAAGATACCCTACTATAAGCACCTACCATATATACGTTTGCTTACCAAATTTTAATTTCCTTTGAATTATGGTTTTGAAATTATAGCTGATAAAATTTTCCACGCCTATGGGATGTGCCACGCCCCCTTTTACAAACCCATTTATATATAAGCACCTACCATTGATATATCTGCATACTAAATTTCAAGTTCGTGGGACTTATAGTTCCTAAGTTATAGCTGATCAAAAATTCCATGCCTATTGGATGTGCCATGCACTCTTTTCCAAACTCATTTATATACATATACCCTAATATAAGTACCTACCATTAAAATGGCTGCGTACGAAATTTCAAGCTCAAGCGACTTATAGCTCCGGAGTTATAGCTGATAAAACATTCCAGGTCCATGGGACGTGTCGCTTCCCCTTTTACAAACTCACTTATATATAGCCTACTATAAGGACCTACTATAGATACGTCTGCGTACCAAATTTCAATTTCACGTGACATATGATTCCGAATTTTCCACGCCTATGGGATGTTCCACTCAGTAATATATGCCTTACTTAAAGCGCCTACCATAGATATGCCTGAACACCAAATTTCAAGTTCTTGGGACTTATGGTTCCCAAGTTATAGTTGCTAAAAGGTTCCACGCCTATGGGATGTGCCACGTCCCTTTTTACAAACTCATGTATATATAGCCTACTGTAAGCACCTACCGCAGATATGTCTGCATACCTAATTTCAATTTCATGTGACTGGTGGTTGTGAAATTATAGCTGATAAAAATTTCCACGCCTATGGGATGTACCACGCCACCTTTTACAAACCCCTTTATATATACTTTACTGTAAGCACCTACCACAGTTATGTCTGCATACCAAATTTCAAGTTCGTGTGGCTTATAGTTCCGGAGTTATAGCTGATAAAATATTCTTATGGGATGTGCCACGCCCACTTTTACAACCTCATTCATATATACCCTACTATAAGCACCTACCATATATATGACTGCGTACCAAATTTCAAGTTCATGTGACTTATAGTTTCGAAGTTATGGCTGATTAAAAATTGCACGCCTAAGGGGGGTGCCACGCCCCTTGTCAGATCCCAATTTTTTTCACCCTATTATAGGCCCAGGTGTCATGGCAATACTCTGTCAAAATTTTGTTCGATTCTGTCCGTCCGTTTAGACTGCAACCTGGCACATACATACATACATACTTCCACAAATATATAGTAGATGTTCATTACTTAATAAAGGCAGATATTAATTTCTTTAAAAAATTTTCGAAAAGTCAATTTAAGTCATAAAGTCGACTATCAGAGGGGATTAATCGACTGAAAGGATCGAAAACCTGAAAGTCGATTCTGAAGTCAAGAATCGATTCTGCATGCGCCTTTTCCATCCCTACTCTAAATTGTGACATGCACTGATATATCTACATTTGGTCAGTTTTTATGTAATAATGAAAACGCATTTGACACCACATTAACAGCAGTTTTTGATGACAGTAATTTTGACATATGTAATGAAAACAAAGCATTAGATACAGTTTATAAATACGGTGACCAGAATTCTATGGCCAAAGATTGGAACATTTCTAAAGCATCGTATTTGAACATACAATTTTGTGTTTAGAGTAGGGCTGTGCGATTATTCGATTACTCGAGAAAGTTGGTTAATGAATTATTCGGTTAATCAATTACTCGAGTAATCAAGATTTTGAATACTCAAAACGATGAATAATCGAGTTACTTGAAATATGATTACTCAAAAAAAATAATTTTGCTCGTTAAAAGAGTTTGCTTTGGAAAATGCTTATTTTCTTTTTTACATTCTGTATATGAAAAAAAAATTTCGTTTTAATTTTTGAAAACAGAAACGTTGTTTTCAAAGTATCAAGGAACTTTAACTACTTTATACATATGTAAAGAGTTGAAATGTTGATTACTCATTTTACTCGAAATGTTGATTAATCATAAAGCAAATTACTGAAATATTTTTTTTTTTTTGTTAATCATCTTGATTACTCAAGGTAACTGAACTTTTGAGTAATCATAATTTCTAATTAATCGAATAACTGATTTATTTACTTTAAGATTAATTAAAATTTTGAGTAATCAATTAATCGCACAGCCCTAGTTTAGAGTAATAAATTTATAGTAAAAAAAATATATTTTTAAAGCAGGCTTTCTAAATATGAACGAAATCGGACCATAAATACGGGTTTTTCAAATATCTCGATTCCTGCGCCACCTATGGAGTAATTCGTCTTTCGTATTGTATAATTATAAAATTTTGATCCAACTGAGAAGCTTCAAGTCTCTGTCTCTAGGTCATCGGGAATCGGGAATCGCAAAAAATTTTAGAAAAAAGGTTTTTTCTTAATAGCGGTCGCCCCTCGGAAGGCAATGGCAAATCTCCGAGTGTTTTTCTGCCATGAAAAATATCATAAAAATACAATCGCCGTTCGGGTCCGCGTAAAACTGTAGGTCCCTCCCCTTTGTGTGACAGGATCAAGGCGCACGCCACAAATCGGAGGAGAAGCTCGGCCAAACGCTAACATTTGTGTAAGCGCCAATCTATTATTATTATTATTTGTTGACCGAAAAATAAAAAAAAATTAACTTTAATTACTAAATAAATACTATTAAGTTTTGATTATAAAAATAATTGTTTGAACTAGATTTTTGATTGATTCTATTTGAGTCGAAATCGATAATCCGTAAATCCAGCCGGATTTTAGCCAGTATCCGGCCGGAAAGTCGGATAACAGAAAAATGACCGGATAATCCGGATTCCAGATATCTACCGGATACCCGGCATATACCTATTAAATACAATATGCTGAATACTCTAAATAAAACAACGATATTCTTGGTTCTTAGGCATTTTTTACTTACGAGATTCAATGCTGTAAGCCGAAGATTGCAGAGAGTTGATATCATGGTAGAATATCAGACAACTGTTTCCAGTAGAAGAAGGAGAAAGTTACAGGCTGTCGAATCACAATATGGGTAAGTTCAATTGCCAGGTAGACGTAATTTTCGGGTAGGGATGTCAGTGGCAAAAATACATCGATGTTTTTCTTTGATTCGATGCATCGAAATGTACATCGATATTTTTCGATGCATCGAAGGGCATACATCGATGCATCGATTTGCAATGGATTTTTCAGATAATGTTTCACAACAAAATATGTTATTAGCAAAATTGTAGAAAATTTTAAATAAATTACTGCAACTGAGCTAATTGTGTTTCTAACGGAACTTCTTGCAGCCATTTAAATTTTTTGGATAAAGTCACTTCTTTTTTTTTGAACAATTGAAAAACTGGAATGACGGTTCAATGTACCGTAGATGTCAGTTTTCAAAAAACATCGATACATCGATGCATCGATACATCGACTATTTATACATCGAGTGGAAAATTTTCGATGCATCGAAGCAAAACATCGATATTTTCGATGCATCGATGTTTTTTTGACATCCCTATTTTCGAGTAAACACTTTCAACGTCATTCTTGACAACCTCGATTATGAATTGCGGAAAAGATGCGAAAAGACTCACGAAAAAATTACAGTTATTACTTAATTCGGCAATCTGAATTTCAGTGGAATGTAAAATGTATAACTCGGACTTTGGTGGATGACAAACTTGTGAAAAAAATTTCTGAAAATAAGTTGAAACGTAATTCTCCATCGGACCTTTTGAACAAACGAGTTATTCCTAAACGAGGAGATAGCATATACATAGAATATTCATCAAATTAGTATTCAACTCGGAACCCACTGGTGGTAGCCGAGAAAGAGGGCAGCCCCCACTGCGATGGAAATACCAGGTGGAGAAGCACTTGGGATTTCTAACTGACGCCAGTTGGCACTGGAAAGAAACGACTGGCGTGCTTTGTTGAACTCGGCCAAAATCGGTTAGGCGGCTACAGCGCCAAATAGAAGAAGAAGAATGAGGACTAAGGGCCAGTGGTTCAATTTCTGGTTATCACTACCTCCCAGTTAAACATTATTTTCGACGATTTCGGCTTCATGCTTATAACATGTGATCGATAAAGCACCCGTTGTATTTAACCAGAGCTTCTACCTCCGATTTGTGTAAACCAGACATTGAACAATCGGCCCTAAATAGCTTAGCTATTCTGTGCATTTAGTCGGATTTACTCCAACGTACATAGGGGTATTTGAACGATTTAGGCGGCCATAAAGCAATTGGAACAATTTTTTAAGGAACTTAAATACTTAGTCACATTCGATAGAGAACATTCAAAATAACATTTCCCTTTTTTCTAACTTGCGCAGCGAATGCTCGCCGTTTACCGGAGACAACAAACTATGCGGAAAATGTGTTGATATCAATATTAAATGGTAAAATTTTGCAGGAATTATTAAGTATACAAGGTTTAATTAAATAGGAACACGAAGCAATGGTTTTGGGCATGTAGCCCTTTAGGTAAGTACGATTTTCAGCACATGCCGGATGTGGGAAAAGTGCATGAAGTTATATGTATGTAGATATGAACAGAAAAAAAAACTTACTTATATCGCACGCTTGCCTTTTGCTTTCACTTTTACAATTTGCCACTGCACACTAGGAATGGGTAGTGGGGGTTTAAATTCGATTTTTTCTGAATTTCGAACATTGTCTAAACATTCGATTATTCGATTCGAAATTTGGTGGTACAAGTTCGATTTAATTCGAATTTTTTCGAATTCTCAACAATTTTCTTACTGAAAATGTAAAAGCTTGTTTGTGAAAAAGATAGCTCAAATCGAAAAATAGACTCAATTGAACTTACAGTAAAGTGAATAATTATCCGTATCGCTCTTCTTAGCTTAACAACCAAAAATAAATAGTAATAAGAAGTATTTTTTTCTCAAATAAATATCTCAAAAAATATCAGAAAAAATCCAAAAATTTATCAAATGTATCACGTATTTTTTCAGTATCAATTTAAAAAAAAATTAACAAAATGTAAGTTAATACGGGGGCTAACACACATACCTGTGTGAATGTGCTGACGCCGCACTTCCCCAAACACGCGCATAACCAGTGCGGGTAATTGAACTCTCATGCAAAAATAATCGAACATACGTTAGCATAATTGAATCTATGGGAAGCGCAGCGTCAGCAGTTAATTCAGCCGGTTAGACAGTAAGTCATAGTATTAAGAAATATGTTGTATTCATTCCATTTGGGACAGCGGAAGCAGATGGTAAATATACTTGTACAAAACTAATTATTGTCTTTTATTTTAGGAAGGACAACTCGGGGCCGCCGTGCGGCCCCCAACTTTAACTTTTTCGGGCTCACGGATGTGAGCTCGATGACTGGCGCCCGAGCAGGGACCCACTGAAAGTGTGGGTCTCTGAGGAAGGGCCTCCTTAATTGTGGGGTCTAAGGAAAAGGATCCTCTTAACTGCTGGAGTCCTTTTTCAAGTG